CTTATCTGTTCATTCCATACTTTGCCTCTTCTATCTTCATCTCTTATCTGCCATACACATTTTGCAACTAATGTAACAAAGTTATCGTATGTCTTAAACTCCCCAGATTTATATATGTCAGAGATGTTCTTATAAACCATGTCGCAATCTTTGTCCATAACTTTATGGTTGCAATGAAAACCAAGGAATTCATAATTTACTTTACGTATGAATTTCTTAATTTCTACTGAGTCAGTTGCTTTGACTTCAATTTCGTCGAATTCAGGAATAGTTAGTTTTTGCTGCTGAATTTCAGGTAGTTTAGGCAAATGGTCGATGAGGTCCTCCATTTCATAAAGATACTGTTCATTTGTTTCATCTTTCGCACTACAGTCTAAATTACTTGTTAAAAGTTCTTGCTTTATCTTCTGGATTTCTGTTTCAAAAGTATATGAAGAAGGAATAAAGCTTTTCATCTCTACCAACATTGACGTAGGATTCATGACTAACGAGTTTGGTGCTGTAGTTGTTTGAATTGTTGTTGTGCCGATTGTTGAAATCATATCTTTTATACAAAATAAAAAAATAAATAAAAATAAAACTAACTTTATTTTTTCTATCTTAAGGAAATTCATGAAAATTCACGAGACCCAAAGGGTCTGAGCCGCTAAGCGGCGAGGGTGAAAAAACAGGTGAAAAAAGAGGTGAGATCTCACCTCTTCACCTCAATTATATTTTTGGTGAATTCAATAAAAATAAATGGTTCATTTACTCACAATATTTTTGTACAAAACGACCCCAAACTTTTAACTTCTTTTCTGCAGCTTCTAATGCTATCTCAGCGAGTTCATATTCTCTAAATTCTCTCTTTAAATCTTCTTGTTCCCATTGGTCTAGTTCGTATGGAGAATCTCTATAACCATAACATATCTCACGTTCATGTTCTAATTGTTTTTCATGCATTTTTCTAACTTCTTCTTCAAACAAATGTTTTGCATTCTCTACTGTATCTTCGAGTTCTTCTTCATCTAATTTCTCATGAACTTTCTTGTCTATGAAGTCCATAATATCTTTGACATAAAATGCATACTTTACAGAGCACCATTCAGCAACAAAATGAACGTGGTCAGGATGTATGTAAATACCTTTGAATTCATTTATAACACCCTTAGTAAGCTCATAAAATGCTTGTTTTGAGGTCGAGCCACTTTTGGCTCGACCGTATTCTTTCAACCAAAACTCAAGAATTTCCTGCATTTTAGCACTATTAAGAAATCTGTTTAAATGGTTTAACCTTCCCGCTTCTCTTGCCATCTTTGTTGCATTAATGTAACCATCCTTGTCTCTACGTAAGACTTCAATACCGTTATAAGAGCCTTTTGTGAATGTTTCGCCATTAGATTTGTTCGTGAACGTCTGTGCTTCGACTGACATTTCTGTTCTTACATACAAAATAAAAAAATAAATAAAAATAAAACTAACTTTATTTTTTCTATCTTAAGGAAATTCATGAAAATTCGTGAGGGTGAACAAACAGGTGAAAAAAGAGGTGAAATCTCACCTCTTCACATAAACATTATTTTTGTCTGATTTCATCAGGAATTCCCGCATGAATTTTGTATAAAAAGCAACCGCCGGAATTCGGACTGTTGCTATATTCTTCACAAAATGCCTTATAATACTCTTCCCTAAAAATTATTTTGTCTGATTTACATCTAATGAAAAAGTTTAGAAGAATTATCTTATTCTTTCTGGTAAATGCTTTGTCTGATTTACATCTAATGAAAAAGTTTAGAAGAATTTTCTTATTCTTTCTGGCATATTTTTGTCTTTCCAGTACTCCCGCTCTAATGGTCCCAGATGTGTTGGCTTCGACTCTCTCAAGTTCTTAGATGGTATAACATCTTCAACGCCTCCTTCATATCTTACTTTATAAGTGTCATCGTTTATGTTATAGCCAAGTATTTCAATAACCACTCCTCGCTTTGCTTCGTCAATGGTTTCAGCAAGTTTGCCATTACTACTTTCGACTAACTTATGTCGAGGGTAAAATGCAATAGAGTCGTCAGCAGCTTTTATAAGATATCCATTACCTTGCGTAGAGTCTACGATATAATAGTTTCTACTTAACCTTAAACGTTTCTTTGTCAACGGTTTGTCGTCAAGAACTACACGAACTTTTGTACCAGGAATGAGGGTAAATTGTGTTGAATTTCTGATATTTTGTGTTTGACTTCGTTTCTTTTGTATATACTTTTCTTCTTGTTGTTGTGTCATTGAATTTGGTGTATGTCCTGTTGTAGAATGTGTTGAGGAATTATATACTTCGAGAAAATGTTTCATTGTTTCTTCGGTAAAGTCTCGCTCTTGGTTTAAATCTCTGAGCGTTCTTATGAAGCGGTTTATGATGCCGAGTATGTTATGGTTATGGTCTTCAGTAGTGTAGTGAGTTATGTTATGCTTAATGAGAAATTCTGTGATTTCATTGCTGAGGTATGCACTGTCTTGGTCTGATGTTAAAGTACTTGGGTTATGTTCTGCTACAAACTTTTGTAAAACTCTTAACACTTCACGAGTTCCTTTATTTTTCATTGGATATGCATATGCTTTACGAGTGTTAACATTAATGAAGATGAGGAATGGTTTATGTCCTCCTTTTCTGCTTTGAATGAGAGTGTCAAATTGGTATGCGTCAGGAGTGATGGAGTAAATTGGTAAAAAGTAGTCGTAAGGGTTTATTTTTGTTTGATGTACAACATTTTTGTCAAAGAACCTTTTCACTTCAGCTCTGTTAGTAAATCCCCAACTCTTTGCAGCTTCATTGAACTTCTTAAATGACCTCCATGGATGTTGTTCGAATACTTCTTTCAAGCTCATTTATGTAAAGTTAAAGATTTTATTCAAGACGGTAAGATTTGACCCAAAGGGTCTAGGCTCAAGCGCGTTCAATGAACGCGGTACCATGCGAATACAGTCACAAATGGCGGCATATAATCTGCACCCGAGCCTGTTGGATTTGTTGTGAAAGTGTGTGAATGATTTCCTGCGGTTCCACAGAAAATACCTGCGCCTGAATCTACTGGGTCACTTGAAATATCATATCTATTCATTCCCTGTCTATCCGAACCCGCTGCAAGATTTGTAAAACCTCTTTTTGTTATTGAATGTGTATGATTACCTGTTGTGTTTGTAGTTCCTGTATGAGTGTGCGGTGGAAGGTTTGCTTCTTTAATTTTCTTCGAACCTCCTGTTTGCTTTGAATATCTAGCACAGTATAAGAATTTATCTACAATCTGCTTCCACGTACCAAAACCTAAAAGACTTGCTGGATTTGTTGAGTTCATTGACGTATAAATAGAGCCTATAGGATATAATGTTTGAAGTATTTCAGTCTTTAATGTTTGAAGCTCTGTTTTGTCTGCTTTCTTATCATATAAATCTTGAGCAGTGAATTTAACATTATTTTCATCATCCATGACATAAACATTTTTACAGCTAATTTCTTTCTTCGTTGTTATGTTTTCATTCGATGTTAAACCTTGTGGAAAGTTAGGAGGTTTATAATATAATGCATCCCCACCAGTTCCGCCAACCGTTCCTTCAATAATTTCTATAGCAACAGTTGAGAAGGAGTTATGTGTATGTTCTTTATCTGCTTTTTTATCTAACATTGCTGGTAGTTTATATGTTTCAAAGTTTCTGACATGACCTTCAATGTTCATACATTTACTATTTAAGGAGTTTAGTGTATCTTTTACGCTTGTACTTGGATTCTCTAAAGGTGCACTTGAACCAAGGGTATAGTTCAATATTATGTCGTCTGCTCTAACAGTAGTGAAGGATTCATGTGTATGGTTCTTGTCAGCTTTACTATTTAATGTAGCTTGAAGTTCATTTATATCGGAGATATTGTGTTTATGAGATTTCAAAACTTTGTTCGTTGCGTCAAGTTCATCTTTGTCAGCTTTACTTTTAATAGCATCTTCAAAAGTTATTTTTGCCTTAACTCTCAATGTAAATCTTGGTTCAACTAATACACCGTTAACAAAGAAGTATGAAGCATAAATTTCATCGTTATAACCAAATGCTTCTGGTGCTTTACCTGTGTCATACTGTACAGTACAGTGTATGTCATAACCTTTAGCACGAATGAATTTATATCTTCTTTCATTAACATCTTCAGTGCTTATTTGTTCATCCTGTGTTAAATATCCATGGTAGTCCGTTATAATCTGTTCGTCTGAACTTATATAATGAACATGGTTTTTATCTGCTTTTTCGGCTAATTTCTCTTCTATCTCATTTATTTCAAGTTCATGCCTACCACCACCTCCTTCAGAAGTATTTTTCTTCAGCTCTTGAAGAACGTCCACTTCGCCATCTTTGGTGTCAATAATGAGACTTTGAGTTAAAACCTTTCCTGTCTTAATGGATGTTTGTAAAACTTCTTCTTCACCGTGTTCGGGGTCATGGTCGTCATCATATCTTGTGAAATCAGAGATGTTGTCATACATTAAGCATATCTGTCTCAAAAGTTCTGCTATTTGAAACTGGAACGAAAGATATACAGAACTTTCATCATCTCCTAAAGTCAAGTCTGCTTTCTTAAGTATTTCTTGAATGTATGCAATGAGAACAGAGTACCTTGGAAAATATTCGAACAATATTTCATTAGCTGTTGGTTTTGGTGGTTCTTCTGGAGTTTCTGTTGTTTCAGTTCCTTCTGTAGGTTCTGTTGGAGTTTCTGCATCTCTTGACTTCAATGCTCTTGCTCTCAAAGACCTAAATGTTAGAGCACCAGGTTTTACAAAGGACTTTATAAATGCTTTAATAGTTCCTGGTAAGTTATTGTTAGCATTAAGTAAGTTCCTTATGCTTCCATCATGTACGTCCATAGCACTATGTAAAAAATCTATACTTTTCTTGTAGTCAGCAATAGACTGACTGTGATTTTTTAAAGATTTGTCAATACCTTTAAGCCAATCTTCATGCATGTCTGATACTGAGCCAAGAATATCATTTGCTTCCTTTAGTGTATTTTGTGCTTCTCGTAAAGTATCCAATCCCGTACGTGCATTGTTTGCTATACGTCTTACAGTATCTATTTGACTCCTTGTTTCTTGCATCCAACCAGATAAAGTTTTAATAGTATCCGAACCATTTGAAATGAAGTTCAAAGCATTTTTAACGTCATCTAAAACTTCTTCACCAAGTACTGCCCATATCTTTCCGATTTGGTATTGAAGAACTCCATATGAAGCAGCTGTTAAACCAGTATTTATAAGGTTCCATATCCATGATTTAGCAGTTTTTCCATCCTTTCCATCTTCACCATCCAAACCGTTTTCGCCTTGAGGTCCTTGTATTCCTTGTATTCCTTGTATTCCTTGTGGTCCTTGAGGTCCGGTGTCACCCTTCTCTCCTTTCAGTTCATCTTTATGTTCGTTATAATATTCTAATGTCATAAGGTGTACATCATTACTGCTACCAGCAACGCCGAGAATTTGTTTCTCATTCATGACTAAATTCTTTAGGCATTTAATGTTGTCGTCAAATCGAAAGCTCTTTAACAATTCAATGAGAACATTTAATACTTTCACTAATGAGGCATCTACTGTAGAATTTATATATTGCACCGTTCCATCATTTATGATAGGAACCTTGCTTGTTGTAATGAATGGGTCATAAGTGTTAAAAGTATCGAAATCAATGACTTTTTTAGTTTTTCCATCGTCAATGACTAAATCATTGCCTTCAATGGTTAAAGTTGAGTTTTCGTTTACTAGTTCATGTGCTCTTCTTGCTTCATTTGTTTCATACGCATATGCAGCAATAGTCATATTTTAATGAGAATAAAATGTTGTTCTATTTGCAAAGTACAGACCCAAACGAATACGGGACAGTAAAGCTACAAACAAACTTAGGTCTTCAGAATGAAGCGCTTGCTTTCAGAGTTGTTGACTTCAATACTATCGCAACTTTTGTCATAACAGATGAAACAGATTTCATAGAGATTGAAATAGATGACAAAAGAAGTGTTATAACATTTCCTAACAGAGCTGGGTATAGAATAGATAAAATTGCTGGAGTCATAGATACTCTCATAAATGAAGAAACTATTGACAACATAGATGTCGAACTCTCTTCTGAGGGAACATTGAAGTTCAGCAGCGAGAAAGAGTTTAAGATACCAAGAATGAGTCATAGAGTACAACTTCTTTTGGGTGCATACCATATGACATTTCCTTTGAAAAGTGTTGACAAAACGATTGAGATGAAATCTGTTCCATACGTATGTTATGGTAATTGTTTATACATTGAGTCTAAAATAGCTAATGTCACAGGCATTTCAGGAGTTAATAGTAAAGGTTCAGTAGAATATAAATCCTTTCTGTTATGCAGTCAATTCAATGTTCATTCCAAACGTTCCTGTCATAGCAACTCATTTAGGTAAATGGGTTCGCATTAGTCCTCATAATTTGAAAGACATGCAATTCAGACTTGTTGACTTTCAAGGAGAGCCTGTAGAACTGAAGGCACCAGTGCGAATGACTGTTGAAGTTGACTTTTTAGAAAATATTAAATGCAACAGCTTACAAGAGAACTCAGAGCTAAAAATATAAAGTATGAATGTTATGTATTAGGTCATGAACTTTGGTTGTTGCTGTTTGATGAAACAAATGAGTTAGTTATGTCAGTCAAGAGAACAGAAAAATATTGTGTTAGTGAAAACTGCACCAAGTCAATAAGATTAGGTTTGCATTATGAAGATGAGTTCGATACTGTTGAAGAAGTTTTTGGATAGATATTACAAATTGCTAACTTGAAATTTTTTTGACTGACGGCGCAAAGCGCCAAGACCGAAGGTCCTGACTGCTTTAATTTACTAAAACATATTTCAAACAAAGCTTATAGTCAGTAGATATTTTGTATACTCGTTCGAATATTTATACTTAAACTCAACTCCTGTAGTTCCTGGTGTTTCAATGATGCGGATGTTACCTATTTTCATGAATAGTGGAGTTTGACCACAGCATTCGATTTCAGGGTCGAGATAGTCAATGACACATTGTTTCCCTGTTATTCGTGATATAACATTTTCAAGGTCCTCCTTTGTTAGAATTATTTGGTTCTTGCTTATAAGATTTGTCAAAAGCTTCTTATCGTCTTTGAGTAAGATAGTTTGGTATAACTGAAGAAGGTAATGGTCTACGTTATCTGAAGGATTTGTTTGAACATTTGTGTAAGGATTGTCGTTGGCTTCTCTTGAAAGAATTTGGTCCAGTGGTGGATACTCTAACTTAAACTGATGTAGCGTTAGCGTTTGAAGCTGTTTAAATTCACCGACTTAAGTTCTGGTTCTTTTTCTTTCAAACACTCTGAACTATAGTTCTTTATGACAATATTGTTTGTCGTTCGTGAGTCAACATTTGATGTTGGTTCAATTGGAACATTAACGGCACCAGCTAAGATGGATTTGCTTCTCATTTCATATAGAATAAAAACCTTTTATATGTATGAAATGAACAATATACTCGACAAGGGTTTGAATGTAAAGCTAACGAATGAAAATATTGTTGAATTCACTGAGACAGGTGCTGTGTATAAAGATGTAGAACTACTGAACAAAAGAGCTAAGGGAAGAAGCAGGAACATGAACAAAGGGTGGAAGCCTATAAAAATTTATGTCAATGATGGCTCAGGAGGTTCAAACATAAAGTATGCAGAAAGTTATAGAGTTTATGCTCTCAAAGGTGAAAAGCCTTCATTTAAGAACAGCTATTCTAACGCATATCCTCAAAAGCTAACGGATGGAGAAGTGGATGATATGAATGACAGCAAAAATATTAACAGAAATGGCGACAGAGATGCATGGAATTTGTTTACCATCAGTCAATTGAAGGTTAAACTTTAAAACAATGTTGGTCGTTCCCATGGAATATTTTGACTTTAATGGTATTAGTCATGATATGAATCTCAGGTATGAACGAGGAGAGAAGAGAGACTTATATGCTTCCCAAATTTCTTCAAAAGGTAATGTTATACCTGACTGTTTCCAAATGAGTTCAATATCATAACGTGAGAAACCTTGAAAGATAACGAAGTCAGTTATGAGACGTTTTATGTTTAAAGCTAAAAACTCCATGTTTGCATAAGTATTGCTACAGTTAATGGTAATGTCTGACTTTAGTAATGATGTTAGCTAATGGTGAGTCTGGTTTTGACACTAAACCTTTTCCGGCGAAGTCGTCACAAACGAGCAGAGTGTTTGAAGGATACTTTTTGAAGGGGTATTTTGAAAGTTTTGATAGAATGTAGTTTGTAAGTCGTTTCATATCGTAAACTCCTGAGTATTGACGTAAGTGGTGTTTGTCAATAATTCTTTCCATCTCCTCAGAAGTCTTTTGCATTCCTGACTGTATGAACTCTACGATGGCATAATATTTCCTCTTACGTCGAATGTAACGTTGAAGAAATTCAATGAGTTCACTGTCTGGAACTTTAACGACAGAGGCTTGAACTTTTGACATAAATGTTTTTCGCTGTTGAATCCATAGAGTCTGAAGTTGCTGATATAATGATTTGGTCATAGTAAGAGTCGTTTCCTAAACGCTCTGTTATGAGTATATGACGAATGAGGTTAAATGTCTTACCTGAACCCATCTTTCCACAATAGAAATAAACACCATTTGAACAGAACTCATAGTCCTTACTGAAAGGAAGAATGAGAGAAGTTAAGTTTTCACTGCTTTTCATTCATGTCTTCATCTACGTCATGTATTAAATGCTTCATTTTATCTCCATTAAAAATGCAAGTCAGAAATATTCAGAACATAGCACCGAGTCTAACTGACAAGAGTATAAAGATATACTATGAACATGTTATGATGAAACCAACCAAAATTCAAGAAAGTCAGTATACTTATGAATATCCAAGACACTGGGTAGAGTATGTAGGAGGTGAGAAAGCTATTGAAATCAGACAGGTTCGAAGTATTCCAGCAGGAAGAACAATATTATTGAAGAACTTTAATGTTTTGAGATATAATGATGAAACAAAGAAGCAAGATAGTTTCCCTGTTGCTGTGTATGTGAACTTAGATACAGGAGATGACATGAAAGTTTTAATACAAAGCTTCAAACGGTAGTGAGAGAACAACTGACTGCGGAAGGGCATCCATTACCTTCAGAAGTTACCATAGCATATAATTTTGAAACAAACTCAATAGATTTTAAAGTCATCTCTGCAAAGAAGTCAGGTTTTACATTTAATGAAGCAGATGTATATTCGAATGAAAACTTCAAAGCTATTGCATGGTTAGATAATGACGATTGCTTTAAGAAAATATTTAAATACAGTGACTCAACGATGTCAATAGATGACCTTCGTGGAATGTTACCATCGACGTTTACAGTAGAAGGTTCAGCAGGATTGCTTACAAGATTGTCAATTGGTGGTATTTGGTCTCGTGAGAACATTGTTATAAAATCCAGTATAAGTGAATTTGCTGAAGAATCTATATTATGTCTTTCAAACTATATGTATTCGCCACCGAAGCATTATAGTATAACAAACTTTGTCAGTAAGTTTAACATAAGACTTGTCGAACCTTCTTCAATGAAAGATGTTGTGCTACCTAAAGATGGAAAGGATGGACTCATTATTGAGATGATTTTAATTGCATATTAAATGAGCTTGTTCTTGAAGGTCATTCATGATGAAATAACTGTTGTAGAAGATGTTAGCAATTGTTCAGACATTTTGAAGCGTATAGATGATATAAGAAAGAAGTTAGATAGACCGCAAAGCGGTGAGGGCGAAGCCCGTGAGAACTCTTATGTTTCATTGACTTTCTCCAGTAACGAGAACTTTTATGAGATAATATTGAAGAGAGATGATTTTAATATGGGGTAAATGGTAGCTTGGGCAGCTTTAGGCGCAATGGGAACAAAAGCATTAGCATTTGGAGCAAAAGCACTTGGAGCTTATGACGCAGTAAATAAAATGAGTGGAGGAAGGGTTTCGAAGACATTAGATGCAAATAAAGGAAAGATTGGAGGCTGAGTTGCAAAGAAGTTAAGATTAAATAAAATAGGGCTCATAAATAAAGCATCCAATTTAGTTGCGACTGAGTCAGAAAATGCTTTAGGAAAGGACGATGAGTTTGCAAAACACGCAAAAACTTTAATGACCAGATGAAAGGTGAAACAATGCATTTAAATAGAGTCGATGGAACTAAAGAAAATGTTTCTTCTCCACCAGGTTTATCCATACGACCTATGGAATGTATGGAAACCCTTATGAACGACCATTTGACCCATTGACTGGTGGAAGTAATTGGTATCATTATGGACGAAGAAGAAAGACAGTCAAGTTGGAGACAGACGTGAAGAAAGCAACTAAAAAGAAACCAAGGAAGAGAGTTATAAAGCAATGAATTCAACAGGGTGAAAAACCGGGTGAAAAAAGAGGTGAGATTTCACCACTTCACCTAAATTTATTTTTGTGCTATGTTTTCATACGTGTGAGGGTGGTGATATCATTAATTTTTAAGTTTATTTTTATATAAATGTGGAACAAAAATAAAGCATATCTACTCAACAGGAATGAGACCCTTACTGACTATGTATTCGTTTAATGCTTGATGAAAACAATGGTACATATTATCGTATGGGTAGTGTTTACTAATAGATGAATAGTATATAAATTCTATTAAAATGGATTTGATCCAAAAAAATATATAAAATTTGATCATAAATAAAATCGTTTTAAATTACTTCTTCATTTAAATTATAACAATTATTTTTGGTTTTATATTTTTTGGATCAAATCCATTTTAATAGAATTTATATACTATTCATCTATTAGTAAACACTACCGTATATTATTTTTTAAGCTATCTTATTTTTTGAAATTTTATTCAACTCTTTGGTCGCAAGAAGAATTGCATGATAAATAAAAACATTTATCAAAGTCAATTTTATTTTTCATATTCAAATGGACTGAGTGTTAAAATTTAACATTTTTTGCTAATTGTCGTCAAAAATTAGGCGTAAAGCAAAAATTGATATTTCATAAAAAAAAAAAAAAAAAAAAAAAAAGGTAGTGGGGCCTCCAGGCACTTCGTGCCCTCTAGCCCTGAAGATGTTTAGTATAACTTTGTCCGGACAAGTAAGGGTCTATCGTCGCTACAGGAAAAGTTACAGGCGTTCCAAGGAAGTATACTTTGAGAAGCCTTTTCTCCCTTATAGAATGAGATAGGACGGTTATTTTACAAAACTGACAACACTTTGACCGAGTAGTTTTTTGAGCTGAACAAAAAGTGTCATATAAACATCTGTCAAAAACCGTTTTTTAACTTCACTTAAAATGCCACGAAGCTACGCTAAGAATATACGTAAGAGGAAGAGAGCATTGAAACATCCAATAGTAAAACTGACACCACAACAACAGTTGCAACAACAAATGCTTGAATGACCCCACTATGTTGCAACAAATGTCAAGCAAACCCTATGCTCTTAAACCGAGTTATTGGTGCACAGAGTGGAGGTTTAAGAGCGGCACTTTTAGCAAAATGGCAGGCTATGGTGGAGCTGCAGACGGAACAGCCTATAACCTCAAAGTCAAATGAATTTGGAGTTCACTCAAAAATCAAATAACAGATGTCAAAAGTCAAACATAGACATACAGAAACAAATAAGTGAAAACGAAAAGAACTAGAATATGACAGACACACAAAGAAACTCAACGAGTTAAACGTAGAGAAAAAGAAGAAAGAAGAACAACTGAAAGAACTAAGTACAGAGGAATATGCGAAAAAAGTGTCAGAAAAGCACAGAAGTAGCAAAAATGGAACAAGATGTTGTAAATTTGAAAAACCATACTACTCAATAATAAAGTACTGAAAGATGAAGAGATAAAACAAAAGCCCTGAAGACATATATGGATACGATGAGTATAAAAAAGAAGTTGAAGCAAATGTAAAGGCAGAAAAAACTTTTACAGGTGCAAAAACAAACCGTACAGTATGAAAACTTAGCACAAGAAAGTAAAAATAACGACGCAGCCATGCAAAAGGCAATGAAAGCGCAGAATATATAAAAGCTAACAATGACTGGTTAGATCTGCCAAGCCAACGCTAAAGCAGCCCAGCTTATAGGGTCAATAAGGACAAAAATACAAGCGGATGAGACAGTTTCAAATGAAGCTTTAACAAATGCTGACTTAAGAACGCCTTCGAAGCTCTTCATAGTAAGGTGAAACAAGTGAACGACTTCTCATCTGGAAAGAAACTGAAGTCTGAAGGTTTCGACAAAGAGTTAAAAGAAGTAGCACAAAATCTGACGAAAATAACAGATGCAACAACGAGACAGGCAGTCAAAGTGCCTATGACGCCGTTAGAGCAACTGTTTGTGAAAGTCAAGAAAAAGAGTTACAACAGACAAAACAGACCTAGTAAATGCTTTCTTAAAAACGAAAAGTCAGTAGGACATTATGCTGCAGATGGAACATATGTGCCAGCTGGTGAACTTATATACCAGCTGGTGGAACTTATATACTAGCTAGTGGAACCTATATACCACCAAACCCTCCAAGAGAAGCACCTGCACAGGACTACCTAAAAACATTTACATCGTCACATGGACACAGACACAGGCATGCACCACAACAACAACCAAAACCAACAGTTCAAATCCAGCACAACAACAACCAAAACCAACAGTTCAAATCCAACACAACAACGCAGCACAACAACCACCACAACCAGCACAGAACCAACAGTTCAAAACCCTGCACAACAACAACCACAAACAGAGCAAGGACATAAAAGAAGTAGAGAACAAGGAAACCAAGATTTCTTAAAAAATGCTTAAAGAAGACTATGGTTACCCAGCTACTCTTGACTTTAGTGGACAGATATAAAGAAGCTATTAGAAAGTTCAAGGAAGGAAATACTGACCCGAACCTATTTAGCTTTATGGCTCAGCACCAAATGGGATATAATTTCAAACCTGGAAAATACAAGCTCGCTAAGGATATGATTTAATAGCATATCATCCAAATGACATGACTGAATTTACTCCGAGATATTTGGTGTCAGAGCTAAATGACAATTCAACTCTTCTTCATGAAACGCGTAAAAAATAGAGACGGAACGAAAGAAGAAAGGTTATGAATCCGGATGACTTAGATAGGGAACTTGTTAAAAACGGTCTCGGAATATATGAAATGCCAGCAGATGAGGTACAAGAAACTCCACAGGAAGAAGTTCAGATACAACCAGACATGGAAGAAATAGTTCAGCAACAACAGCTAGAAGAGCCTGAAGGAAACGAACAAGTCCCTCCTTTGGAAACTAACTTCACAGAACTAGATGAAGATTTGGAACAGCCGAAAAATCTTGACCCTCAACAAGAGTATGAGGTGAATATGGAATCTTTCCAAGAGTCTAAGAAAAATTCGGCTGACATGGTAGAAGAATATCGAAAAATGTTTGCCGACATACAAAAGACTCCAACATCAGATGAAAATATTCAGCATAGAATGGAAGAACTGAAAGAAAATGTACACAAATACAACAACCCTTTTTACTTACGAGCATATAACGTTCAATCTTTGGATGAACTCGGTGAAAATAAAAGGTTAAATTTCAACAAACATATAGAAATGAAACATTGTTTAAAGTTCATTCAGAACCTACCAATATGGAAACAAACCTACTTTTGTTTCTGCAGACTATGGAACTACAATGAGATGGGGTCATAAAGCTAACCCGGATAGGTGGTTCATAAACTTACAACCACAATTCCAAGAAGTTGTAGACGCAATGGAAGTCAATGGTGAACCAGATTAGCTGGTATTTTCAGCGCGGCTTTAATGCCATTGAAAGATATGAAAGATGCAGATATTTTGACCAGTATGAAATGAACATGGCTGAAGGAAATATAACACCTGACGTTCTAGAACATTTATCTCAAAGAACTACACAGAACCATAGAGATGGTATATTTGGTGAAGAGTTTAGAAAGAAAGTTAGGGGAGAGAAGGAAGAGAACCTATTGTACATGACCTTGCAAACGAAAGTTTACAAAATGTCATAAAAACTTACTTTGCAGACAATGAACGAGAAGGGATGAATATTTAAGAAAACTCAAATGGACAGTACCAAATGAAATGTTAGTATTGAAAAACATGTTCCTTGACAAAATAAAACCAACTACAGAAATAAATGACGCAAGACTGAAACGTTGGGTAAAAGCTTTCCCATTCACAAAAGATATTGTTGTAACATGGAAAGAAAACCAGAATGGCTACAAAAACATATATTTGGAAACGAGCTTATTCCATATGGACAAGCTCTGTTTTGAAGAGCTTGAACCGGAAAACTCAGGAAAGAGTCATGCAAACAATACGCGAAGACTCAAATACAAACTATGACAAAATCTTTCTAGGATATAGGTTACCTGAGATGGGCGACCAGAGCCCAAAGGCAAAAAGGACATGGGAAATTTACAACATACTAGGTGAACATGAGGCAAAGATGCAACAACTTGAAGCAGAGGGCAAGTTACCAAAAGCGACACCAAAGAAGAGAGAAGAGTAGAACAAAGTGAAAGTAGTGAAGAATGCAACTAGTGAAAGTAGTGGCAATGAAGGAAAAAGAAGAGTTAAAAACTCAGTCAGGAAGAAAGTAAAGCTTGGTCCACGTGGGTTCTATTATGACACATAAATCCAACTATTCTATATTTTTACCCATATGAAATGTACGCCGCTCAGAATATAACGCCAACAGTTTTGGATGCCATGAATGGAAATGTTTCCGAATGGTATAACGAATGCGACAATGCCATTAGAAGGTCAGAAATAGTTCCTGGAACTTACGAATATACAACTGCTGTTTCTTATGGAAACGTAGGTGAGTTTGGAGAAGGTTCTTCAACAACAGTAGATATTGCTTGCGACAGGTTTCATATTATTTCTATTGACAACTCATTCTTATACGTGGAACAAGACATTGAAATAAAACCTTCTGCCAAGTTGTCTGACAAGAAAGGTTGCAATGGAATTTTCTATGTCGGATACCAATATGCTCCAGAAGTTTTCATGGGATATAAGATATATTCTAACTCTGACTTAGTTCAAACAGTAACATGGGCAAACTATGAATGGTTCGCTTTGAGAAACTCAGTACAACCACAAGCTAGAGAACAAACAGACCAGTATGCAACTATTGAGAAAATAAGAAGACTTGACCCTAACGTTCCAGGAGTTTATGTTAACCTTTCTGGTTCAGATGGAAATGCAGTAACCAAAGTAAAACTGAAACTTAGAGTTCCTTTGTCATCTTTCCTCATCTTCAGGTTTTTAAGATACTTGCCAAACTGGGCAGGAAAAATTTCTATCGAACTTACTCCAAGCAAAAATAACTTAGTCATTGCACCAACACAAGACCCATTCACTATTACAGACGTAAAGGGAACAAATCAAACGTCATTCGCCGAATTTTGCAAAGACAAAGTTGACTTAGACTTTGGTTTCTCAAACCTCAACACTGAAGTAAACTATTATTTCAATGCTGCTGGAACTGCTTGGGACCCAGTTAAGTTCACATGCGAAAAATTTGAATGCAAGAGAATAGAAAGCAGACTTGCAGTCTATATGTTGGACCCAGATATTTCAAATGCTTTAGCTGCCAAATATATTGCAGTTCCACTTATGTTCCCTATACACCAAATATCTGTCAAAGACTTTGCAGGTGAAGTTGGAAACCAAAGTGCTGACCCAGGTGCAAGAACAGATATTGCTTTAACAACTGCAATGAAACATGCAGATACTATGTTTGTACTGTTCAGACGAACTATAAATGACTATTCTTGTTTCTACAACCCTGGTATTAAATATCATATAAACATAGATGGCAAATATTATCCAAGAGAAGAATATTCTACAGTTGAGGATATGAGGTCATACAACTTGACATTAGATGCTATGAACTTTAACAACAACTTCACAACAACCATTAACCCTGAAATGCAAAGTTCTATTATGCCATATGTGAAAGTATGGACTCATACAGGAGTCAAAAAACTCAATATACAAATGGAGACCGTTCAAACTTTTGGCTTGGCATTCCATTTGCTGACTCAGAAGACTTTATGGGTGGTATTTCAACTGTTGGTACTTCAAATACAATATACTGGTGACAGAGACGGTCCATATGAACTGAGAGCAAAGAAGTTTACAAAACCAATAGCACTTTTCACGGAAGATGCTCTTTTGAAGATTCGTTCGATGAAACCTGCTGGGCTCCTCAGATTGGCATAACGACAGCTTCCATCGAGCAGATTTTGGCAGCAGGTCAGTAAGTTGTTCTTGAACTGACTTCTCTCCGTCAAATATTGACACGCCAGTTTGACATAAATTGTATTATAAACTTACCTTTAGAAATATCTGTAAGTTGTTGTTATATTTTTGTCTGCTTCAAGAACTTTCACCATTTCAGTTATACCAACTTTCTTTGCTTTATGAAAATATTTTGGTTCAGCAAAGACTGCTATTCTATAACATTTTCCATTGTTTGTATAAAGAACTATTCTGTCAATGTATTTGTATTGTTTGTGTGTGTAAACTTTGTTCTGCTTCAATTCGAAGAGATACCGAATACGTCCAATTTTTATTCGAAGTAAAATGTCATTTCCGAAAAATAGAAGCGTAAGTGTTTCAAAAGGTTTAATGGGTGGCAGATGTGAAGTTAAATTCACCAACTCAAACAAACAGTCAAAGTGTTATTGTCAATGTCAAAGAAAGAGATGTTGAAGTGGGGAAACCATACGAAGACGAAGATGGTATAACAATAGTTCCTGTAAAAGAACCAACATACCCTGAAGTTAGCAGAGACTTAAGTTCTGTTGCAGATATTCGAAACGACTACCAACAACTGAAAGACAAACTTCAAACTCAGGAGAAGATTTGTCAAGCTTTAGGTATAATGTTAAACTTGGTCGAACACAACCCTGTAAAAGTGAACTCATATGTCATTGCACCTCATGAAGTTTTTGAAAGAACTATTGAAACTTTTGACAGAGCAGACGATATAACATCAAAGAAATAGAACCCGCAGTTAGTTGCTGTGGTGTTTCATATAATGTCATTGACAAGATATACGTTATGAAAGGAGGTGAAACGTTGAACTTAAAATATAGTTTCCCAGACGTATATAAAATATTTGACGACCACAACATTTCATTAAAATTTATTTGCTAAGTAAAATGGCAGAGAAGACACAATGGTTTATACTATTACGACTAAAAACCCTGAGTCATAAATTCTATAACAACAAACTTACAAATGTCCTCAAGGACGATATTGTAAACTAACCTTAAACACAATGACGACTAAAGCTTGTTTTGCTCTTTTGACACCAGAAGATTTTATTGTTGTGAATGGTAAAAAATACTCCTTTGAAGATACTTACTCAGATATACACCAACAGGTTTTGTTGACTTATTTAATACTTTAAGTACGGGTGTAACATGTGCTGCAACTAGAGCAGGTTTCATTATGTTTGGATGTCCGACTGAGTTTACTATAAACAATATGAGCTATAATACAAAACTTATATCTGGTTTTACTACCAACAGTTTCCTATAACAGGAAAAGGTGTCATACAAGGAATGTCTGTTCCATTGACTTTAAGTACACCTATTTTATATATTGTTTCAAACTTAGGTTCAAAGTGTTATTCGAATGTCGACAGAAACTACTATGACCAAAAGATACTTATGCGTATAAATAACACTTCTCTGCTGGTTTGCCTATGTTCATTCGAATGCAGAGTTTTCAGCTTTAGTAAACTCAAACACTTTAGCAAACATAAACTTAACCTTAGTTGACGCAAACTTTGTTCCTGTAAAACTTTTATGTCCTATGTATTTGTCAATGACGGCAGAAAGTTTCGAATTGGAAGATGCAACTGGTGAAAGTATTGTATTACAAGAACAACTTCAACAACAAATAGCTCAAGAACAACAAATAGCTCAAGAATAAAAAAAATATTTTTTTTTTTTATAAAATGTACAGAATAGATGTTTCAGATTTTTATGACTTCCAAACATTCAGAAATATGTGTCCATTTCGAGACTATAACAAAGCAGTCGAGAATTTGAAACGTTTAGTCATTTATGTCGACTCTGCCCCAGAATGTTATGTTATGAAAGAATGGGATGTAGTCTTTAACAAACCTAAAGCGACAATAGTTTCAGAACAAGAATGTAAACAGAAACTTAAGAAAATAAAAGTCGTACAAGTTGGCATGAAGATGTTAGATGCTTGGGATATCTTATTGTCAAATTGAAGATTTTTCAGTTCGAGGTATAAAGTTCTATACACCTTCTCCAAACTTCTATTCTATCTTCACTGGATATAAATACGAACAAGTAGAATGGAAAGAAAATGTTATAGAAGCTTGGTTAGACCATGTCAAAGAAATTATATGCAATGGAAACGAAAAGGTTTATGAGTATATCTTATGTTGGTTTGCAAACATCTTACAACATCCAAGTGCTAAAAATGAAACTGCTCTCATTATAATTGGAAAACAAGGAACAGGTAAGAACACTTTCTTTACAGATATCTTATGCAAACTGTTAGAAGGTTATTCGAACCCTAATATGACAAACTTAGAAAACATCTGCGGTAAATTTAACTCTTCAATAGAGAATATGAAACTTATAGTATGTAACGAACTTCAAAGTATAGATACAACAAAAGTTTTGAACTCAGATGCTTTGAAGAGTCTTATAACAGACAAAGTTGGAGTTGTTGAAAGAAAATATAAAGACCAAAGAGTTTGTGAAAATGTTGCAAACTTCATTATGGTTTCAAACAATGCTGTTCCGATGAAGTTAGAAAGTTCTGACAGAAGATATGTAGTTGTCAGAACGTCAGAAGCTCATATGCAAGATACAGAATATTTTGACGACTTAGCAGAAACTTTGACATCTGACTTTTACAACCACTTGTTCTCATATTTCATGACATTAGATATTTCAAAGTTCAATCCAAGACAAATTCCACATACCGAAGAGAGACAAACATTGTTAGAAGCAAACAAGAGTGTATATGAACTGTTCATAGATGAAACTGACTTTGAGTGTTTAGATGAAAGGTCATTGTACGATTCGTATAAACAATATTGTCAAGAGTATGGTTATATGACAGCGTCTAAACGAACATTCTTGGCAAATGTCAAAAGTCTTTTAGACGTACAGAATGGTGTATATACAAAGAAAAATTTTTCTGAGTAAATTTTAAAAAAAAATATTTTTTTATCCGATAGAAAAGATGACGAAATTCATCTCAGTAAACAAGTACATGTCAGGACTTAAAGAAGAACTAGACCCATTCACATATTTGAATGTTTACTTCTACCATTTTGAAAAGTCTTCATTCAGCAAAGTTTGGAACATCGAACCAGTTAAGTTTGCTATTGTGACTAAAAATGGTGCGAAATTTGAAGACTTAGACATAGAAGGTTTGTTAGCAGTCAAAGAAAGTTTTGACAGAAGGTTCTCAAAACTCGAAGAAGGCAAAGCATACAAACTTGTTATACCTTATGAACCAAAGAAAGCAGACGACTATGAATATTATGAGTCTAAAGTTGTAGAAGTTCAAGGTAAATTGGGTAAAAAGATTTTAGAGTCTAAGCCAGTGTTTGCTCCTAAAGAGGAAGAGAACATTGACATTGACCCAGAAATGTTCTAAAAATAAAATTTTATTTTTACATGTCAAATTTCTTCTTCTCTGGTTCAGGTTCTTTCTTCTCTTCTTCTACTTTCTTTTCTTTCTTTTCTCTCTTCTTCTTTTCTGGTGGAGTTATGTCAAACTTCTCAGAACCATATTTTTGTAAAAGTTCTTTGTCCTTTAATAGCTCTTCTATTCTGTTTTCTATTTCATCTTCAAGAACAGTGCATGTGTCTTCTTTGCATTCTAAGAAGTTTTGTTGGACTTCATCTCTCCAAGAGGCGTCATCTCTGTCAACAAGTCTGTCATTGACAAATTTTAAGACTTCTCTGCTTAATGTTTTATGGTTCTTGTCATATTCCCAGAAACAGAACTTTAGAACAAATTCACCTTTCTTGTTTACACTATGTAAGATTTATGGTCGACAGATGTTTTGCTGTCGAAAAGCTTGTCTCGAATATAGATGGCGAAATCGCTAGACATTTTCTAAAAGATAAAAATTTTAATTTTTCTAAAAATATGTTAGAAAAAAAGTTTGCTGACATTGACAAAAAATTTGAGAATGTTTTAAAATAAGAACAAGAGGAAGTTGGAAAATGCTCAGATAAAACCCATACATGACAAGTTCTTATTTGCTCAGAATGGTATAACAGGTCTAATTGCACCACCTGGGTCGGGTAAGACTTTCACTTATCTTAAAATGGCTGCACAACAACAAGAACTAGATGAGAAGAACCCATTCTATGAGTTAGTTGTCATTTGTAGTATTCTTGGTCAATTTGACCAAACCGTCAATTCGTTCAAAGATATTATAAAAAGTCTAAGTTAGTATGTATAAAAGACTCTGAGTTTGTTAGATTGGATAAAGAAGTACCAAAGAAGAGTTTTGAAGTACAATGCTATAAATGAGTATATAAATTCGAAGTTTAAAGACCCAAATGAGGAAATGCAGAGAATATTAGAGAAGAAACACTTCAGAAACAAACAGAAAGAGATAGAATACATTTCGAAGAAATTGCAATCTTACGATTGGAAACGTACCCT